GAAATATGATTTAAAATAATTTAAGCCATTATTTCATTGAAAACATTTGGTAAAACATTAAAAATACCTGCTGTGCTCAATGGTAGATTATATAAAACGATACTAAATAGACATGATAGAGTAATGTTAAAATAAAACATCTCTACTACTTTTGAATGAGAAATTTTCATTACTTTCCTTAACGATTAAAAGTAAATGACATGTTAACTCCAATTGTGTTTACTCATATAATATATTGTACGTTTAATATTGAATACGTTTATTCTATAGAGAATCAATTATTCTAGACGTTGGTTTGTTTCAAGGAAACAATGATGAATCGTAAACAGCAGCTTATGTAGAACAAAACATACAAGCCCACAGTACTGTGTTTCAGTTGAATCCTCATCAATTTTTACTCTAGTTTATAGTTAAACAGAAATATATGAAATAAACCCTGTAGATTAATGCAATGAGTGAGCCAATGATAACATGATCTGAATTACACAACTATCATCGTTCCTATGAAGTAACAGTTAACGGTAGGTGGAGTAGTAGTAATGATAGAAACAAGAAAAATAGTACGGAAAGATGAACGAGTATTTCAACTTAAGATGAAAGTCATTACTCTGAAAAAACGACTCACTAAATTAATGGCCATAAAATTTACGTAATACATATGAATGAGGAAGAGAAACAAATAGGTAGCGAAAATATATACAATGGAGATGGAAGAATTTGTCGGATATTTTAATTTTTTCTGTTCTCCATGAAAGGATAGATACTGCAAACGTGTGTCAAACACATTGTTCATTTCTTTTTCATACATGGAACAAATCAGAACTCCGTCATGAAAATGTGGAGGCATAACATAAATCATCCTATGATTTTTATTTTTTTCTGTCATTTTGAGTTCATTGATCAAATGTAGTAAAACAGAGAAAAGTATCTACTTGTTTTTTACACGATTCAAGATGCTCGCTTAGTTGTTAACTGCTTACCCTAAAACTAAGCCTAATATACCTATTTCAAAAGCAACAACTGAACTTGTAAATAAACATTGATATAAGAAATACATGTTACTTATTCTACGTTTCAGCAATATCTATTGACTTAATTGGCCTTTTTAACAACCTTAAACGGTAGATTACATCGAACAATACTAGATATATCTTTACTGAGTTTAGTCTTTAAGAAGCAAGACTTCTTATAATTAAATAATATCTTATTGTATGAAATAATTTTCCAGTTTACATTCTGTTTTTTAAAGATTTTCTATTCAAGATTTTTCTTTTACTGACTTCCAATTTTTTATTATCTTCATGAATAATAAATTCATTTAACACTTTAAGAAAAACCTTTTTTTCTTTCGATTCAGTAGTAGATTATTGAGCAACTAAAAGTAGATACAGAATGCGAATTTCTGCATGCAACTCAATAGAATTATTCGTATGTATATACAACATACACAATTCTTATTACATGCTTATCTACATATGCTAATCTATGTATAATCAATACATAGAATTAAATACCCTATTAGTTAATTGTTTAATTTTATATAAAGGACATTGGTTAAACTAAATATTCTCCAGAAAAAAAAAGAAAAAAAGAAGAAAACGTTCTATCCCAAATAAGTTTTGAAATAACTTTTTTTCTAAAAACTAATAAAATGTCGTAAACTCATAAAGGAAACAAACTAGAAATTCCTTTGGTGATAAAAAAAGAGTCAATCAGTAGTGGGTACGACTTGTTGAACCATGAATAAATAAATGTTGTTCTTTTTTAAAAATTAAAAAAAGCGCAACTTAGTTTTATCATAAAAATGAACAAATAGAATCATTACAAAAATTAAAGTAAATAAACTAGTTATTACATATCATTGTATCTTTATTATTGTTGCGAATGTATGAACATATATACTTGAGCATTTCTTACCGCCTACGCATTTATTCACGCTGCTAGCTTTACTACTAACCGCTTAATTGATTCGATGATTCATTTCACTATATATATATATATATATATATATATATATATATATATATATATATATATATGTCCATGTTATTCATGTTCATTGCTCTCTCTCGCTTAATTGTACTCGTTTACTCGTACTCATATTCGCTGACTGACTGACTCACTCGCTCGCTCGCTCGATTGCCAGCTTGCCTTTCGGCATAACTCTTTCATGCTTGTTTAACGTACCTGTAATTTTGGATATCTGTGTGTGGTTCCATAATAAACGTAATCAACACTTCGTATTCGCCTTCTGATTAATATACCGTTGGGGTTTTATCTAGTGACAGTTATCAAGACGAACTGTATACGAAGTTTAAGGATTATATGGAATACCAACCACCACATACTTATACATATATCTATAGTAATATATATGCAGAGATGTTAGTTACAGATCGAATAAAACTTTACATATTTTAAGTCAATAAGATTTAGATAATCGATGTATCAGTTAAAGTTATGAAGTTCAGATGGTAGACAGGTTTAATGTTCACTTTATTTACCGATTACTGTCTCCGATCGTCAACTTTAATGATTATTTTTCTATATGTAAGTCAGTATCTAAACTGCAATATTTTCATATTGTCTAGTTAATATATTCTGTGATGTATACTACTCATGTTGACAGACATAAGCAGTATGTAACATCGATCAAAAGTGGAATGCCTGGTAGTAGAAAGTTGAGAAGATCTAATTGAAGAAACCAGAAATGTAAACATAAATCAACTGTAATAACAACAGGAATAAAGGGCCAATGACGTTTTCACGAGACAAGTATTGGAAGATTTGCAAATAAAGTATTTCATGTATGGTTCTTTAAATTGGTTATTCCCACTTAATCCTTCATCCGTTACAATCATAGTTGACAAAATATCCAATAATATATTTTTTTATTAAGTAAATGATTGATAGTTGTTTATGTTTGGATGTGTAGATATAGTGTATAAGTATACTAGGACAAAACGGTTGTCCAATGATCCCATGTTTTTCATGATGGTATAGCTTTAATTGATTCATGAATTCAAGTATATGTACTAATCAAAAACTTTAACTTAAATATTTAAAAAGATAAATTCGATAAAGTTAATACATCAAAAGCTGAAATATAGACTAAATAGAATTTCAGCTATTGAATACTGATTCTAATGTTTTATGTCATTGAACAGTTCATTCATGATGATGATTATTTTACTAATGTTAACAATCTATTATAGTTTTAAAAGAATCCAAAAAAAGAACTAAACATTAGTTGTTTGCACTTTTCATTGATTACTGAAATGTTGATAATGGTAAAATAATAATTTCTTATTGAATGCAAATTCAGTGACTACATATTTTAATATAACTGGGCAATTATAGACATAAAGTGGATATACTCTTTATATAAGAAAAAAACTTATTACCATTAATATTACTTCTCAAAGAATTGATTTCCACAATGTTAACCAAACAGCTTGATGGTAATCCAGAATTTGCTAACAAAACACGCCCTATTGAAATGCTACGCAGTGATATTTGATATTACTTGTAATCTTATACACTTATTTACCGCCAAACAAATCAATTTACTTAGTTATTCATGAGATTTAAATGACTGTCAAATTTTTAAAAAGAAGAAATCATCACCTGAGATGAAGGAGAACACTTCACTTCTACCTGAAGTCTGTGCTGATGATGTTGTTCAGAAGAACGATGAAAGCTCCACGACCAAACCATCCAGTCCAGAGGACAAAACGCCATCGAAATCATTACCTATATATATTTCGGTCTCTGTATAGTGGACCCTAGATACAGTGTTTCATAACTTCTGCTTAACTCAACTGAATAGATCTCAAACGTTATTGATTCACAGATAACTTACCCTATAGGTGCACAGAACTTTACGAATAGTCACATGGAAATATACATACAGCAACCGATGCTCTGTGTTATACATGATATAGCGTTATTTTGACTGTCTGTATTATTATATTAATGTATTCTGAAAATGATATTCTTCACAATTAATCGTTTTGAACCTGTTTTACGGTAATATTAAATAAATAACTAATCCGAATTACTAACATTAAACTATTCTAATGGAAAATATACCTTTTTGTTTAATACCGAAATGTCATGTATATAACAATATGTTACAATAAAATAGCTCTATACACTTATTTATATGTAATGTACTACAAATATGTTTTGCTGTATAAAATAAAATTAACATTGTTTGATCTATTATACTTTAACTTTATTGATTAGCATTAAACTAGAATGACTGTAAATATGAAAACTAATCTAATCACTTGTGTTTTGCTATTGAAATGGTATCAGAAGATTACAGAAATTTATTTAAGCCAACAAAAAAAATAATGTGTAGAGATGATTTAATGAATAGTGTAGAAAATCTGAACATATCCATGGATAAACGTCTCTCATAATGTATCCATTTCCTCTTGTTTTGTCTCTGAGTTAAATTCTAGATGAAATAGGTTTCAGTTGGCTCCAAATATTCAAGCAGATAACAAAATGCACCGTGATATATAGTCACATAGTTTAATGTTTGAGGTATAACTCCGTCTACACTATGAGGTCAGTAATATGAAATAAATAACATGAAATTCCCTGCCACATAGTAATCAGTTCAAGAGGTCACCCAATATATTTAGATACACGATTTTAGATGTCCAATGAAACCTAGAAACAAACTTATGTCATATAAAGTCCTGAAAAATACAATTTGATCATCATGTATGTAGACTCCTAGATCAATTAACAATGTAGAGTCAACTGTCACTTCATACTGTAATATAAAGGTACTTAAGGTATTCATGAGTCAATTTATATATACAGTTAAATAGCATACAATTCTTCATCGCAAATACGTCCATCTCAAACAATTAACCAGTATGTAATTCATAATCCTTTTTCAATAAATTATATTTTTTGACAATTAACTATGAAATAAATAAAAGTTATTTTTGGTAACTTTGTTTTTCGTTTTTATTTCACAGAGTGATTTAAACAATTTTATCGTACTATCCAATAATTCATGAACTAAAATTATTCACATTTTGGATTGTACATTATGGATATAAAAGATTTTCAATTCTAATGGCTTTATTGAATATGTCATGCTGTCTTTACATTGTTGTATTATAATACTCACACTACAGACAAAATTGTTTATATTATTCTCATTTATGTTATGCGTTAAAACGAATTTTATTAATTATGGAATACATTTATTACATGCCGAATCTTTTGGTTCGTCATCATCATCATCGTCACTATCATCAATATCATTGTTACGTACGGACAGGTCAAAATTAAATGTATATACTGTAGATTTTATGCTTCCAGACGAATTACCTCAAGGTCATTTTATTGGTAACATTCCAAAAAATATTCCGAATTTTCCATTTTATAATATACTCAATTCCTCAGTTAGTACTACATTAGTTGATTCCAGTGGATTTTTATTACAATTATTTCGTGTAACAGATAATGGTGATTTTTATACACGAACTTTAATTGATCGTGATAGTCAGGATCATTTATGTGGGCCATTAAATTGTTGTCATTTAATTGTTTGTAACTTAACAGTAGATGTTTTATTTTTTCATCCAATTACTGAATCAATTACAGTGCATGTAAATTTGCAAATACATGATGCTAATGACAATTCACCTCATTTTACACAACAGACATTTTCATTATGGATACCAGAGGATAATCGACTTAAATATACTGATTTAGATATTCAAAACATGCATAAAATAATATATGGATTACCATTAGCTACGGATATTGATTCTGCACCAAATGGTGTTGTACAATATCGTATACATGGTAGTTTACCTGTCATATCAACATTCCAAATTTATAGTAATTTAAGTATTGAGAAATTAGGTCTTTTAATTAAACCAGGTGTTTTTCTTGATTATGATAATGTAAATCAACGAATATTCAAACTAAACATTGAAGCAGTTGATGGTGGTCATCCAGCTAGAACTGGTCGAATGCTTGTACTTGTACATATTACAGATGTAAATGATAATATACCTGTATTTAAAAAATCTAGAGATTCTATAACTTTACTAGAAAACACTATGTTTGATGAACCAATTTACACGGTACAGGCTACTGATATAGATTCAGATGATAATGGTCTTATAAAGTACACCTTATCATTGACAAACCCAAATACTCTTTCATCTGTTATGGAAAAATTTACATTTCATTCCACCACTGGTGAATTATATTTACGTAATGTTTTAGATTATGAGACATTTCAAGAAAGACAAATAGACTTATTATTCATTGCTTGTGATACCGGTGACCCACCGCTTTCATCAACAGCCCAGTTAACAATTTATTTACAGGATATCAATGATAATCCACCACAATTAATTATACAGTTGAATAATACAATTAAGGAGAACAGTGAACCTGGTCAACTTGCTCTACGTCTTATGATCCGTGATAAAGATGAAGTATCACGTGACATGGTCACATGTCATTCGGATCATTCAAATCTGCACGTTCCATTAAAAATGTCTATATCTGATGATAAAACAATGATAACAGTCATTACAAATGCAACGATTGATTATGAATTAACGCCGAGATTATATTATACAATAACATGTTTAGATGAAGCTAGTCCAAAACAAATGAGGCAATTTAATCTTACAATTTCTATAGGTGATGTAAATGATAACCCACCAAAATTCAAATCATCTACATTTGCTCCAAAAATAGGTCATTATAAAATTTTATTAAGTGAAGCTGAGCCAGTTAATCAATTATTACTAATTGTAACAGCTGAAGATTTAGATAGTGGAGAAAATGGACGAGTAACTTATAGTCTAATGGAAACAGACCATAATACAGAAGTACCTACTGTTAATGCTTTACAATACTTTAAAATTGACAGTCAAACTGGTAGTATATTTCTAATTAAACAGTTAGACTATGAAGAAAATGACTTATTACGTTTTAAAGTATTAGCAGAAGATAATCCTAGACCAGCAGATGGTGTACGTTTGAGTTCTGTGGCTACAGTTATTGTACAAATATTAGATGTTAATGATAATGGACCAAAACTAATTAGTTCAGACACTTTAAGTATAACTGAACATTCACCAGTTGGTACAGATTTAGGTTTATTAAAATTTACTGATCCTGATACAGGACCTGGTGGTCAAATAGCACATATCACTTTGATTAATTCATTCTCACTAACTAAAACAGATGAGAAACATTCAATACAGAATAAATGTAATATTTTCAATGAAGGTATTCATTATTTTAAATTAACTGATAATGGCCATTTATTATCGATACAATCGATTGATCGTGAAGAATGTTCAATAATATATTTACCTATTTATGCAATTGATCGTGGTCTACCAAATCCAATAACAAGCACTACAACATTAACAATACATATACTTGATATCAATGATAACATTCCAATAATTGAAAAACCAAAATTAGGTGAAACATTAGTTTATCAACCAATAAAGTTAATCGATTGGGATAGTTTATCATTTTATCAGTTAACAAATAAACATGATAAAATTTTAAATTATAAACTACTGAATAACACATATTTAAAACAAAATATTAATAATAAAATGTCAAGAAAGTATATTTATAGTAGAGTGGCATTTCAATTACAAGCGAACGATTTAGATGCTGGTGAAAATGGACGTATTACATATCAACAAAATACTAGTTGTAATGGTTCAAAATATTTTCATTTAGATGAATTTTCTGGAGAATTTCGTGCACGCTTTATTGATTATCAGAAATTATCAACTCCTGAATTAATTGAATCAGATGCTAGACGTGGAATTTATCATCTATGTGTACAGCTGACTGATAATGGTAAGCCATCATTACAAACAACCACTTGGTTTTATGTTCAAGTTATTGATCCAATCATGCCACCTAGTGTACACAATATATGGCCAGCTGATTCAGCAAATGATATGGATTCTTTATTTTCAAATTTTTATAATACAACAAATTCTCTATGGTCTACAGATTATTTTGATACATCAAAATCGGATGCAGTACGTCTACCTATTGATATGAATATCAGTAATATTGTAATTTCTTTGTTGTTGGCCATTTTTGCCATTACTATTATTTGTACATTGACAGCTGCAATCTTATGGGCACGTACTAAACGACGATTTAAAAGAGCACATAGGAAAATTGTAAAATCTAACTGTACAAATAACACCGTTAGTAATGATAATAATCTAAATACAAATAACACTACTAAATCCAAATTATCAAACAAAAATAATAAACAAGAAAACAATAAAACTATAAAACTCTCTCAAATAAGTTCAAAATTCAAGCATAAAAAACTGTATCATCATACTGACACTGGTAGCACAATTAACCAAATTCATAATAAAAATAATTATTATGGTAGTTGTAGTAGTATATCCAGCAATGATAATAGTAATGATACATCTTGTAACGTGAAAGTTGACAATCTGTGCAAACAATTAACAACTAATACTGAAACTGTAAATACTACTACTGATAATAATGTTATTAGTAGTCATAATTATGACATTAATAAAACTAATAGTCAAACTGTTGTATCTTGTATAAAATCTCCAATATTATATGCATCAGTGAGACATAAAAATGAATTTGAAAAAAATACATCTAAAAAACGATTTTCTACAGGTTTATTTCATAGAAATAAACTAACAAATATAAATAGTGATAATAATTATGTAGCATTAAATAAAATTCATTATACTTCAGCATATTCTGAAAAGCCTCAACATTTACCACAAGAACATAAACAAGTTGGAGAAAATAATACTCATATTGATTCTGACAATTCATATCTTTTACCCTGTGATCTTATTTCAATCTGTCCTAAACACAATTTCACTGATAGTGATGATAATAATAATCATAATCATAATAATATTGAAAATAATAATAACAATAAAAATAGTTTTTATACTAGTGATACCAGTGAGACACCACCAACTTGTTGTTCATTAATGACTGTACAGTCAACAAGTCCACAATTGAAATATTCAGAAAATGATATTTTTCATCATTTTCATTATGGAAAAGAAACACTATCAAGTCAACAACATGATCAATTATATTCATTGCCATGTCCAACACATTTTGTAACAATAGATCCTGATAATATTGAACTTAGATCAATCAATACTATAAATTCAATAAATGAAAGGAAATTAAATTATCCAACTAATCTACTTTCAGAAAGTATGATGACATGTTGTTCAACATTTCCCGTAAGTAAATAATTTTGTATACCATGGTAAATTCAATTTCACACTGTATATGATTTTGATTATTACCCTGAAGAAGTCCAGACAAGTTATCTGGACGAAACATTGGAACTATACTAAATTTCAATCACTGAGATTATTTCAAATATAATTTTCACATATAATGACCTTTCTATACTTGGTGCCCATTTTTTATCAAACTATTTATTCTAATTTTGACGAATACTCGTATAAATTTGAAGTACTGTTTTTTTTAAAAAATAAATGTCATCGAGACAACCTGAAATATTAAATTGTTTAGATTACTTATTTGATAAACTACTATTCAACTAAACTATCTTCTCAAAATTAAAACAAATTTTAAGTACAAGAAGATTTGTGGAAATTGCGGAGTCATCAATTGATCTTAATTAGATCACTGATGAAAACCTAGAAGCACTGGACACGTGTTTCGTTATTTAAACTATGAATACATCTCCTTAAATTGATAACTATTCTAATAATTATTGTCAATTACCATCGAAAACTTATAAATAAACAGTTTATAATGCATGATCTTAGAAAATTTTCTGGTTGAAATTCAGCTTGATAACACCTAATCTAAGGATTGTTAATTATCATTAAGTTAATTGAATAAATAATTCAATAAATTAATTATGAAACATAATGTAATGGTTGCGTGTACGACAATAAACTAAAATTTAGAAATAAACCGGAAGTATTTTTTGTGAAATGACTGTTTTTATCAATGATGATGATGATGATGATGATGATGATGATGATGATGATGATGATGATGATGATGATGATGATGATGATGATGATGATGATGATGATGATGATGATGATGATGATGATGATGATGATGATGATGATGATGATGATGATGATGATGATGATGATGATGATGATGATGATGATGATGATGATGATGATAATGAAGTAATACTGAGTTTATATATATATATAGCTATGACTATTGTATTCAGTATACTCACAAGTATACATTTATTATAATTGTTTAATGGCCTAAACATAATATACAGGATATTAACAAATACGTTGATTATTCTTAAAGTTACTTATTCTAAACGCAATTATCAAATGTTTAGTTATTTAGATATATTTAGAATTCTTTAAAGTTTCATGAAAAATGAACTTATTATCTTCCAGATAGTTTTTGTCACGAACTGATATTAATCGTAAAATAGCCTATTCTACCATGGTATTAATCTTCCGGAATTTCATTCCTTTTCTTCACGGCCATCTGCTTCCGTTCTATCTTCTATAAAAACTTTTTCTCTTGAATTATTTTGTTTCAGTTTATATGGTCTTCCTTATAACAGTTCACTTCAATTTCAACATTTTATCTTATCATGTTAAGTAATCCCTTTACAATCATAATTCTATGTCTACCTTCATAATGAATATATATCATCCTCGATAAAAAATAACATTTTTATGCTTTTATTTATTTTACCTCACTGTTACTACAATTAGAATACAACAGATAGATGTTTTGTTCTAACTTATTTGAATTCTTAACCAATTGCTTAACGGAAACGTCATATTGGAGACGACTGAATACTGAAAGTATAGGGTTGTGAAGGGTTTTAAGTTCTATTAAAATCAAGAACATATCAGTGTTAGACCACTATTGTAGACGTAGAAGTACTGGGCGGCTGATTTGTTTTAGTATAAGACTCTTCAGGATTGCCCATTCACTGCCCGACACGTGAGAATGGAACCCAGGATCTTCGGTCTTAGTCACGAACGCTTAATCTCTAGATCACTGAGTCGGGATCCAATGCCGTTAATGTCTAACTTCAGTCAACTCACGTTTTTGAGCGTCCTTCTTTAATCGTTTTTGATGTGTAATTACTTCACACCCGACACTGTTGAACTCCACTCAGAGAATTTCCTCTCGAAGCTAGTCACTAGTGAGAAAATAATAATTATCAATATGGGGTTGTGAAGTTTTAATGAAATCATTAGAGGACCAATGTTTTCAATGATGATCAAACGTTGATTAGTTCATGATCTCAATAAGAACTAAACATCTGCAGATTTCAAAAGTGAGCATAATATATCTAAACCAATAAAGCGGTGTATAACCAGGGGGAACCCATAAAAGCAATGTCATATAAGTCCTATTTTTTCAACTCTCTTGACAAAAAACAGATATAAAAGTAATACTAGCTTAACAAACCGATCTACTATAAAAGCGAATACAAAAATCAATTGTTGAATGTGTACCTAAAGTTGGTTATATGTTGATTATTATGATTAATTGATCAAATATTTGTTTTTCAATATTCGTTCATGAAAGACAGTTAAACACTTTTGATAAGATAATGAGTATCATTTACACGATGATTAATTGAAAACAAGATTTATACATATAACAAAGCCACATTGCCCCACTTGATGCTAAGTTTTGACTACAGACTTACTGATATCCAAGTACTTTTTCGAATAAGACTCCCTAACAACACACATGATCCTACTGAGAATTAAACCCTACGTTTGACAATTATTTTGCATTAACTATGTTTAAAATCACTCATTACCTTGGAACCAGTTTAAAAAGTGGAATGCAGGTTTTTATCTTTTTTTTTACATTAGTACTACTGAATATCATGTATGTGTCATTTCACAATTGTCTGTAATGTATCTCATAGCTAAACTATATCAAGACAGTTTTATACATTGAAACATTTGGTCTCTAATTTTCATTAAAACAGTAATATCCTTAAACATGAAAGAGGATCAATGTATTTGTAAAATCTTAGCGAAACATTGAATTTCCTTCGAATTCATTCGCTAAGATTTTACAAATACATTCTTTCTCTTAAATGTCTCATATCAACTCATCATCGTAATACTGTAAAACTATTCAATTAAATTTAGACGAAAGTTCTTATAAAGTATTATTCTTAATTTATTTAACCGTAGAAAAGATAATTCATTGATTGTAATTATTATATTCAATCATCTCACTATCTCATACCCCTTTTTTTTCTTAATTCTATTCGTTAATGATTATATTAAACTATTTTATTGTTTCATTTCATTCTCATAAATCCTTATTGTTATGACACCTTTGATATTAAATAGATAAGGAAACTTTTATTTTTCAGATTTTAGCCACACACGCCATTGTTGATTAGAAATTAAATAATTACATATTTACATTTTAAAAAAAACAAAAATCTTTTTAATAACCTTAAATGACCCAGTTTACAAAATACGATTTAATAAACCACAATTTATTTCATTCTTTTTTTCAAAGAATTTCGGTTCACACACATTAGTTGACAATAAAATTATCACTTTCTTTTTTATTATTGTGATGAAGAAAGAAAAAAAAGGATTTAAGTTCATGAGTCATAGATAAATTCTGAGAAATCTTTTAGTTGAAAATTTCATTCTTTTCTGAGAGTAGAATATTTAGAAAACAAAGTGAAAATCGTTATAAGCAAGAATGGATGATGGCTGGAAGTGGAATTTCAGATGCGCGTTTCCTCCTATTTGAGACTCGTCAGATGGATGTACTTGTATCTCAGAGTTGATGTTCACTCTGGGACTGGAACCCAATATCGTTCGCTTCCAATGCTAGCTGACGAGTCCCAAATAAAACGAAACGTGCATCCTGGATTCTACTGATAGAGACTATTCATCTTTACTTTTAATGCTTGTGAATTAAAACAATATCGAAACAATATGCACCGGATGCACAGATGCCAATAAGAGATTGATCAATTGCAGTCCTTAACATCAATGGGAAGATTCAAACAAACAATACCATGTGAATTTAAAGTGAAAATCAATTAGAACTTAGATAATTGAAGACAACAATGAACAGAGCGAATAAAATATTATCGAAATAAATATGAATATAAGCAAGAAACACCATTTTCAAAATTTATGTTCATGTAAAATAATTCACTAGTATAGGGGTTGTGAAGATTATTAAGTATTTGATTGAGATCATGTACCGATTGATGTTAGACCATCACAATTGAAAACCTGGAAGCACTGGACGGCCGTTTCGTCCTATTATGGGACTCCTCGTGAGGGAATTCTCGGAGTTCTAGTGAGAAGCCGTGACCAGTGGAGCTAATCCTTGTCGGGTAGAGACAGGTATCTACCTCAGTACAATGGAAGTTGGTCGCGCAATTTCGTGGATTGGTTGATGTTAGAAACTATCACCATTGGATTCCGGCTCAGTGGTCCAGTTGGTTAAGCGTTCGCGCGCGAGACCGACGGCCCTGGGTTCGAATCCCGCCCACGGGGTCGTGGATGTGCACTGCTGAGGAGTCCCACAATAGGACGAAACGGCCGTCCAGTGCTTCCAGGTTTTCAATTGTGATAGTCTAACACCAATCGGTACATGATCTCAATCAAAAAATTTAAAATAATTCATATTGATAAGTTTGGTAACATGTTACATTGAAAATCAGGGATTTGATGGTTGCATTCAGCTTCGTTATAGAATTACACTGATGTTGTTGTATTTCACAGTTAGACTGAGAATATCACCGAGTGTGTGGTAAAAATATCTTCGAAACATTTTTATTTAACCAGCAAATATTTATATTTTATTTACTATTAAAACTAAATAAAACCTACTAGTTTCAGAGTTATAAACTAAACAATTGATTTATCAGTGAGCAATGACTAATGTGATATTTATCAAACCCTTTCCTGCTAATTATAATCTATTGACCAAATTCCAATACGAGCACCAGTCTAGATGATTGAACATCATGTACAATATTTGAAATGTTAAGTGGTTACAGGTAGTCTACTGAAAACCCTTAACCTAGTTTTCGTGCTACTTGGTACTTGTCAGCAAGTCGTTCCTGTAGGCTTGAGGAAACTGGCATTCCCTGATGAACTCAAAAATGTGTCGTTCAAAAAATAAGTTTTTATTTCATAGTTACAGTGAACTTGTGAAATGTTAATGTCTATCATTACTACATCAAGGGTAACCCATTAAT